CAGGCCTCCTGCTTCTCTTCTCTGCTTACAACCGGCTCTGAGAGCAACACAAACGGTCCGGGTAAACTCGTTACTGAGCGCGCGCTTTCCTGCGCATGCGCACAAGCTGTTGCCAGTTTGTCTGGCCCCGGGCAGCTTCCGCAGCCCGTTGCCATGGCGACCGCCCGGGCTTGCTTGCTGCAAGTCCCGGGACACAACATTGAGGAATGGCTTTGCCGCTGTAAATGGAGGCCTGGAGGCATGCAGGCATCCCTCCCGGCCTCCATTATCAGCAGGAAAGGTTTTTTGCAAAGAGGGAAGGCTTCGAAGTTTCAGCCCTTACCTGCTTTTGCAAAACCTTTTGCCACAATTCTCCACCAGGCCTCCGTTTGCAGAGAACAGCCTAAAGTACTGTGAGATCACGCGAGATTAGTAGCGTGAGATCTCATACCACTGATGTTGCATGATCTTGCGGTACTTTAGGTCTTCATTCTCTGTGAATGAACCGAAGACCTGGAGCAGCCAAGAAAGCAAAGAATTTCTTGATCTTCACAAGGTATCCACAGGCCTAGTGCCATACACAAAAGGAAAATTTACACAAATAATTTACATATATGTAAAATGTGTATGTGTGTGTGTGTGTGTAAAATTACAGCTTTATCCCAAGTTGACCTGACTTTCAATATTGACCAAGGTTATCCAAAGATTTAAACATAAAAGTTTCTAGATGTTTATATAATGAGGGAATAGTTTTCTCCATTGAACTCAGGCTCATTTTCTTGCAGTCCTGAAGCCTGAGCTCAAAAGTTCAGTCAACCTATTTCCAGGAACTTGTGTATACAGTTAAAGTTTGAATGAGCTTTTCAGAATTCAAATAAAAGCAGTGGTGGGATTCAGCCAGTTTGCACCAGTTCGGCAGAACCGGTAGCTAATTTTTTGTTGCCCAGGCCCAGAAAGGACTTCCGGAAGCAGCATCCACACAGAGAACCAGTTGTTCACATATTTGCACAATGAGAAAACCATCCTTGGCCAATTGATAGCCAAGAATTTAAATACCACTTTAAGGATGTAATTGAAACTGTCATTATTGTTATTGAAAAAGGATATGAGAAATCCAAATGAGTCAATCCTTACATCAACTGTCACTGAGTTGGGTGAGATATATTTTTAGTTAAAGAGAAAAGTTTTAGCTTTATTAATAATTTGTATTAGTGGCATGGTGGCCACTAAGTTTTAGCTTTATTAATAATAGGAGTGGCATGGTGGCCTAGTGGTGAAGACTCTTAGCCTCCCACTTGGAAGGTTGAAAATTCAATCCTAGGGTGCAAATAAAAAAAATATCTGCTGTGAAATCCAGGTGGCCTCAAGAAAGGCATCCAGCCAGTAAAGGCTCAACTCCATCCAGTCACCCCACTCTATCCCTAATTAAGGGATTATAGAGTCATAAAAAGGGAGGTTTTTTATATTAGTCAATATAGGGAAAATAGAAATTTATGAAACTTTCATTGTAGAAAACTAAGAATTTATTCATTTATTTGTATGCTTATACATCAGTGAAGTTAAATTTTGTTATTATGCCTAGATCTCGTTTTTCACAGAATTCAGAATTGGGATTCCTTGTTTATATAGGAAAATTCTGACTTACCCAGTTTATGAAGAGAAACAATGAACCTGTACACGCTATAAAAAATATTTCCACAGTATATTTATTATATTTTGGATGTGGATCCCTTTAAATGGTTTTAAATTGATATGACATGAAATTATGTTTAATCAGCTAGCAACTTATTACACTAATTTATACAAATGTTGTATACAATAATAAATGCAACTTTCATACATAAAATAAAATGTTTTTAATTATTTTTGAAATGCTTTGTTGTATCACAACAATCCACCATTAACTTTAATAGCAGGGAAATATGTGACTGTTCTATAAAACAAAACATTGTAATATTGGATTATATTTCTCTATGTAAGGATTGTATTTTGATTTTTCACATCTTATTTGTGAGCTGTGTATTTTTTTAAAAAAGTTTGTAAAGTAGAAAATGATAATTAGTATAAAATGTATACGTTAATAATCTTTTTTCTCTTTGTACAGTATTGTGCAAAATAAGAATTTTACCCAGCAGTATTATTCTATGAATTTAAAGACCCAAACATGCATGCTCAAAAGTATATTTAAAAAACAACAAAAATGCACGATATCACAAATCCATGTACATGTCTCTAGATAGGAATGAGGTATTGTTATTTTGATTATATGCTCAATCTTATTAACTGATTAATGCATTTAACTTGGAAGTTAGTACGTCCCGAGTTTTATTTAATATTGTTCTACTAAATAAATAAGCCTCACTCTGCTGAATGAGGTTTTCAGTTAAGAAGAATAATAGAGGATATGAAGAACTGGGCTTTTTAAAAATTTGTTTCATGCAAGAAGAACACATTTAAAATATGTAGCTATCTTTGTTCAGTTTGAGCACTATGAGTTAATTGCAAGTTTAGCACTTGACATTGATCTCTGATCTCAAACATCTTATAACTTTTTAGATTTTTTTTTCTTCCTGGGCTATTCAGCCTTGGAATATTGATTATTGGCCATAGGCCATTATATCTAATGTAATTGACAATTAACGTATATTATGTACATGAAGTAGTTTTCTAGTGCAGTTTTTTTCCCCTTTTTGGTCAGAAAGAAACATATTTGTTTTGATTTCAATCCTAAACACACTAAAAATGACTGGATAGCTGACTTTTGTTTTTAAAATTCATTTCAATGTAACAAAAAACCAGTTGGTTTCATTGGCTGTAACATCACTACTTGAAAGAAATCATCACCAACATAGAATGGCTGGGAATGTTAATGGAAAGTCAGGGCAGAAATAATACCATTGCACATAGAGAACAAAATGCAATAAGTTGTTGGCAATAGGGAGAATGGAAATAGAGAGCTGGGAATAAACAAATCACTGAAAGGAAATTAAGATTCACTAGATAGTCCTGGAGAATCAATGAGTAAAATTTGTTAGCTGGCCCAAATCTTGACATGTTCTTTATATCTAATCTTATAAAGTTATGTTGCTAAGGTATCTTGAATTCTAAATATTGAAAAGCATGGATAAATATTAACTGTGAGAAATACCAGAGCATTAAAGTTATACAACAAATACACAGATTTTGTTGTCATATCTTGTTTCTTTGTAACATGTCATTTTTATCATAATGCAACACATTCATAGACACATCCATATTTACACACCTACTTCCTTTTCAAACATAAATAATTTTGCAACTCTTAATGAAACATAGGAATGGCAGCACTGAAAATCATTTGTAAGTGTAGCTACTAAATTGGAATGAGTTTAATTAATACATTCTATGAGGGAAATTATTTTTCAGAGGATATGATTGGCTATGATTGCTCAGAGTCCTCTTCGACATATTTCAAATCTAATAATTTTCCATTAGTAAATCTTCAGACTCAGTTCATGTGACATTAGCATCTCTTCTATGTAATTTTCATTGAAATAATACTGAACTATTTTCCCATATCCCTCTTCAACCTTACATTTTTATACTTCTCAAACTAACCTATTATCTTGGAATTTCTTCTTGGTCTCCCATCTCAAGTACTGAGTAGTCCCATCTTGCTTAGCTTTTCGGAATCAAGTTTCAGTAAGAACTAATGCATTCCCCTTGACCATTTGATGACATTTTAGTAGAAGCTGGCTTCTACTCATTATCATAAAACTCCTAGGTTTATATGGCACAATAACACTCCTTAAAGCATCTGCTGGGTTCTCTCTGAAAGACTTGAACAAATGGAATATATCTTTCGTTTCCAAAAGAAATTTGTTTCTCTCCCATACAATTTTATTCATATAGCAGGCATACCTGTTGGAAACTAGAATACACTGTTCTTATTAATTGGAGTAATTAAGATGAATTCAGCTATTGGATAGCTTTTTGATTTGCTGGCTGGCCACATGACATCAGAGATGGACTGTTTTGCTGGACTGGAGAAAGTCTTTTCAAAGAAGCTAGCTTTCACTTGGCTTTCACATCAAAAATAAGGAACATTAGCAGCAATAATTACATGTAAAATCCAAATTACCTGTCTGTAATCAATCTCTGTGCAGTGGATCCTGAAACTTTTTCATCTTATTCCAGAACTTACTATAGTATTTTAGCTATAGTGACGATGATTTAATTAGTATTGTGTGTCTTATTATTCTCAACTTGTTTTCCTATATTCCCTTTTCCCAATAAGTTATTTTTTATATTTATAATTTTGAATCCATTGGCTTAATACAGGAACTTTATATTAAAACCTCCCTATGGGTGGCATGGGTGCACAATTATGATTCAGGATTGGACAATATATTATATAGTATGTTTAAATGTGTGTTATGTATGTGTACACTTTGAGAGCAAGCAACTAAATTTCATTTTTAATGTGTGCCATTGTGCCCACAATAAAAAATGACAATAAAGGTTATCTATCTATCTATCTATCTATCTATCTATCTATCTATCTATCTATCTATCTATCTATCTATCTATCTATCTATCCATCTATCAACAAGGTTTTCTAAAGTGTGTATTGCTGGTTGAGACATAACTATTCAAAACATTGTTCTCAAATAAAAGCATCAATATTTGAATTTGTGGCTATTTAAGGGTGATTAGTTTCATTAAAAAATGAAGATGTCTTTTATGCCTGTCTTAACATTCATGTGTTTTTTTCTTGATTCTTCTCCAATCATCTCATAAGATAGGAGCATGCATGCAACTATCATGGATATCCATGGGCCCTCCTTTTCTTTGTGTTCCTCCTCTGGAATTTTAATTTTTACCCTCTTAAGAACATATCTGAAATAATTTTGTTTTGGTTACTTTTTCTTGTTGCTTAAATCCTATGCTGATATACATATTCTTGCAATTTAGTTACAGGTTTTGTTCTCTTTTGTTTTGCAAATATAAAGAAGAAATCAGAAGAAGAAAGGACTGTGAAAGATTCTTCCATATCTTGTATGCCTTTTGTGTTCTGTATTCTGGAATACAGTTCATAAAATAAAAAATATCTGGGCAAAGTTTCTATTTTAAAGTAGAAGATTCTGGAATACAAGTAAATAAAAATAAAATTTGTGCTTTTGTCGTTCCATACTTCTGGCATACAAATATAATAGGGAAAACATTAATGCACAGACTTTCCACATGCATTTCTTACATTCCAGACCCCAGAATTTAAGTTATAAAAAGCACTGACTGAAAAGGCAGGCCAAATGTCTACATGGATGTTCAGACATTACTGCCAGTCATGAAAGGAAACAGGGGAGACAAAAATTGAGATGGGCAAGCAGGCGGGTTGCAGATAAAGACCTCATCATCAATACCGCCCAATAACTAATCTATATATCATGGAGTTTTTTTCTCAACAGTAAACTTTAAAACCATGGTAAAATGTATGAATTTTATACTATAACTCCCAAAATTCGTGAGTTTATAAAATGTAGTTATATTTATTCCCTAGTCTTTGCAACTCAATACATTCAATAGATTTCATATAAATTATTTAAAACAAATAAAAATGCTATAATTCTTCTTTAAGATCTCTCTCTGTGTGTGTATGTGTGTGTGTGTGTGTATTCTTATGCATATCTTTCTCAGAAGTAAATATTTTTATACAGTTTTCTAAGCCAAAAAATACTTTGAACTAGATATTACTTAATTCTATGCCCTTTGGAAGATGCATCAAATGTGGTTTAAATCATGATTTGCATAGATTTTTCTTGCTTTTGATTAGTAACTTCATGGTTCATGTTTGCAGGTTTAACCCAGACCTACCAGTTGCAAACTTCCAATAAATCTTCACTATATTGAACATTGGTAATACTTTAGAAAAAAGCATTAAGCTATCAGATGGATTGTTTTCCAACATAAACAGTAGCTTGATTTTCATGTTTTAAGAGAGACATTCCACTAGATCTAATAGGATATACACCAAGCTTCTAGCTCAGTGGTGGCGAACCTATGGCACGGGTGCCAGAGGCGGCACTCAGAGCCCTCTCTGTGGGCACGCACGCTGTCGCCCCAGTCCTAGGCCTTCAGCTGGGTTTTATAAAACCTTTTCGCTTTAGGCCTCCACTGCCATGTGCAAAAAAAATATGGTTCAATCAATCAGTCAATTTCAACTTCTCGGGGGAAAAAAAAGATCTTGCAAAGTTGGAATTGATTGATTGAACTTTTTAGTCCCACCCAGTCTGCCGTTATCACTGCAGCCACGCCCACCCAATGGGCCACCCCCCATGGATCAGCCCCCAATGGGCCACACCCAGCCAATGGGCCACGCCCACCCGGCACCCGACAATGCATAAGTGAGTTTTGGGTTGCAGTTTGGGCACTCGGTCTCTAAAAGGTTCGCCATCACTGTTCTAGCTGAATGCTTAGCATTCCAATTTCAGTGGTGCAAAGAGAAGAAAGGCTTCCCTGTCAGTGGTGTTACGTTTTTTAACATATTACTTAAGTTGGCTAGACACTTCATCATTTCTCTTCTTTCATAGCAAATCCATTAGCAGTTCTAAATTCCAGATGTGTCCTGACAAAGCATTTTTTTATTTTAAAATGGATACAGAAAAGAAAATGCTTGTAGAATCAAGTCAAATCAGAGAGTGACAAAGATTATAGATTAATGATCCCTTCCATGACAGCATGTTTTGAGAAAGTCAAAAATATAAACCTTTTCTGTTTTTATAATTTTTTGTTATCAGTATCTTCACTTTTCTTCAGTATTTAAGATTAACTATTCTTTGAAGAACAGGTTGTTGCCTAGCTGTAGATACATATTTAAGGTCAACAATTGTGGATTTCCTGTTAAGCAAAATAATGCATTTTTAGCACAACCAAACTTATGAATTCTGAAAGTGAGTCAATACCACATTTAAAAAGGATCTCTCATATAACCAGTTAACCCCTCAAAAACCAACTAACATAGGATTATAGTTAGAAAAGGCCTTTTGGCTTTTCAAATTCAACCTCTTGCTCATTGTTTACCATCAGTTTAAGTAACTGGTTCTAAGACAAATTACTATTGTAGTTAGGCAGGCTTTTAAAAAAAATTATTTGGCATCTGCTTTTATATAAATTACATCCATTATTCCATGTCCTGCACTTCGGAATGACAGAACAAATCGTAACCTTTTGCTTTATAACAGGGGTGTCAAACTGCCGGCCCGTGGGCTGATTGCATCATGTGGAGGCCGCGCCCACCCCAATGCAAAAAAAAGTCACTATATGTTGCAACACGTCACATGACGTGGCAAGTTTGATACTTTCAGTTGTTGAAGTGTGACATCACATTCCTCTCCCCTCAGTTTTCTTTTATTGTGGCTAAATACAATTGCTCACTAAACAAACAAGATCAGAGGAAAAAGTATGAGGAGAGACTGTTGACTGTTTGCAGCTGCTACAGACTGACAGACAAATACAGCTGATACTTATGAAGCAGAGAGAGAAAGTCAAGGGAAGCCAAATTGAAGACACTTTTTGTCACTTTTTTTCCATTGCTCCCTTCCCTCTCCTTTCATCCCTGTTCTTCTTCCAAACTAGGCTAATCACCCAGAAAAGCAGCCTCTGAGAGTTCAGAAGCAGAGCAAGGAGATTACCAGACTGATAAATGACATCTCCCAGTATTTTCATTTAGATATTAAATAACATGTAAGAAAAGACTGAGATCAATTGGACTCCACATTAGAACATAATATTCTAGGGCTGGAAAAGACCGTGGAGATCTTCTAATCCAGGGGTGTCAAACTGGCGGCCCGTGGACTGGATGCGTCACGCAGAAGCCACAGCCACCCCATTGCCGGCAATGGCAAAACTGTCCCGGTATGTTGTGCGACGTCACATGATGTTGCGAGTTTGACATGTCTAGTCCAATGCCTCTGCTCAAGGCAGGAGTCTCATACCATCCCAGTCAAATGGTTGTCCAGTCTATTTTTGAAAATCTCTATTGATGAGGCACCCAGAAGGAGGCAAGGTATTCCATTGATTAATTGCTCTCGCTGTCAGCAAATTTCTTCTTACTTCTAGGTTGTATCTCCTTTGACATGGTTTCACCTATTACTTCTTATTCTGCCCTCTGGTGCTTTGTAGAACAGACATGTCAAACACAAG